AGAGTGTATTTCTCTAAAATAGAGACAAACAAAGCCTTGGTACTTAAAAATGTTGCCTTGTTCACTGTGTGCAAAAATAAATCCTGATCCTGGTGCATCTTGTTCAAACTAATACAAAGTTTAAAAAATTAAAAAACGACCCAAATTTCGCCTGAATCATGTGTTTAGTTTGATTTATGCCACATTTACTGGACATGTCTGGATATAAATCTCATTTTAGAATATTATAAGCAAAAAATGATGCCCGAATTGCTTGTAATTTGTAAAAGTTTCTGCCTCTATTTTAAGCAAAGTCAGTTTAAAGTTTCTCTAAATCATAACACCTAATGTGAGGGAACTTGAGTTTATTTTGCAACCTGCACAGGCAGATTTATTTTTTTAACTTAAACATCTTAAAATCAGAGAAACTTCATGTGTAGATCGATGTACGGATTCAGAAAATAAATTCACAAGTGATATCAAAACTAACTTTGTTGGAAACGTTTGTGGTTTAATCACTTGTAAAGGTGTGAACTCTAGCTGCCTACAAATAAAGAGACTTTATTCCCAAAACGGATCCAAACCAAGAACTTCTACATTTGTGAGGGAATCACATTTCCTGCACTCAATTTAAAGGACTCTTTTTGGACCTTAGGATCAAAAACAAAGTCTAAACTTGACTTTCTGACTATAGTGAGAAAGAGGATTGTCTTAAAAACCTAATTCCGAACTGCAAAAACTTTGTGTAAATAGTCCTCTTTCTAGACTAAAGCTTGATAGGAGCCATTTTCCCTTAATGTGCAGAGATGTAAATCTGATTTGAGGATATAAAAAGTGAAAAAAGTGTCCTCTTAAAGGTCTCATGAGACACTTTTGTAGGTAGATAGACATATACTTTATCCATCACTAAGAGAAATTCACATTTCCAGCAGCTTGACAGGGATGGAAACACAGGGGCATGCAGGGTTAAAAGATAAAAATACAAAATAAAATCTAAAAGATCAAGTGAGAATAAAGATAGAAAGGAAGAAATAAAGTCTATAAAGCATAACAGACATTAGCAGCGACTGTAAAGTTTGTTTTGTCTTCTTTAAATAAGAAGATCTTTGAACATTGTACGAGTCAGTACGGAGGCTCAATTTGGACAAACTTCCTTTCGAGTCCTTTGGCTGATTTAAAATGTTCCCGCTTTGTTATAACACTTGAAACTACAAACAAGGGTATAACATTTTTGAATCATTTTATATGATAAGTGAAAATAAACATGACTGGGGAGGGAAGACTATTTTTTTCCATGTCTGGCCACCCCAACAGAAGTCTGTGCCCCAGTTTGGCCCCCCCAGTCGACAAAGTCCGGCTCCACCTCTGGAAAGATTTAACTGCTCAGGGTGAGGCTGTTCTGGTCAAAGTAAAACCAAAAAGACAAAAACACATTCAGTTCCCTTTACTCTTGATTATGCTCATAGTTTTACAAGAGGATTATCCAATCTTTGAACCAGCAGCTAACCCAAACTTACCTCTTTTTTGACCACAATTAACACAGTGATTATTGAATCTTTGTCACACTTGTGATCAGAAATGGGAAGTATCTGATCCACTGAACCGAACCTCTTTTACTGATAGAGGAATATTTGATCTTTCAGTGCAGGAGTTTTGTTTACTTTCTAAATTATTTCAGATATTCTGTAAAAAGTGTGAACTCGGCTGCTTTCTACAAATCCTGTGAAATAAAAATGCACAGAATATCAGACACAGCCGTCCTTTCAGCTCAAGGTGACATTTTTGAACAAAAAAAAAAAAAGATGTGTCTTTCAGGAATTGGGATAAATGTTTTTAAAAATTCCCTGTGTGCAATAGAAAATATACAGAACATTAAAATAATTCTTCAACATTCAGGGTTGTGTTTTCTCGCACAGGCATGCAGGGTCAACTGGAGGCAGATTAAAGATGCGCACAGAGCAAACAGGAGGAGAAGCTGAACTGTAAGTCAGAATTACTGCGGCACATCGAGGTGGAAAGGTCCAGAGAAATGTAACACAAAAAATTCCTCTCATACCTAAAGCTAACATACAGTTTCTACCTTTTTCTTTGTGTGTGTGTGTGTTGTCCACGGCTCAGCTGCCCACAGCCAGACTGAGCTCCCCCGCCGATCCCCATCTTCCAGCTAGAAATCAGCAGAGCATGGCAGACTGCTGCTCCAGCACAGCTCCAGAGCAAAGAAGGAGGGAAGAGAGGAGCGAAGAGAGGAGGGATAAACAAACAATGAGAGAGGAGCAGGATTCAAAGCGTGCGCTTTGTTTGGTCGCCGGTTGCATAATGCTGCAGGTGAGAAAGTTTAATTTGGTGCACAGATGACGACATTTGCCTCGCAGGGGAAACAGACGTGCAGGCAGCCAGGCCGGGTCGGGGCCAGGCAGGGGCAGACCAGCCCCTCCACCTTCTGATGTAGCTCCAGGGCGTGGTAGGATTTAGCATGGCCTCATTACCTTGTCATGAGTTTGGAGAAATATGGGCCTCCTGAGAGAGGCTCAGGGACGTGGACTGATGGAAAGAGAAAAGGAGCGAGAGCTGACAGTGGAGAGAGAGAGAGAAAGAGAGGGAGAGAAAGCACACACACAAAAAAAGGAGGGAGGAGGAAGGAGAGGTGAGAGGGAAAAAAGAGGGTAATTGAGAGAGAAAGGGAGGAGAGATGTTGGCAGAGCAGGAGAAATGGAGAGAATACAGGGAGGGATGGAGTATGGCGGGGAGTGGCGAAACTAATGGTCCTGCCTGGAGAGATAGTAGTCAATCAATCATGTTTAAACAAAAGCAGCAGGCCCAGGAGAATATTTAAGAAGTGCTTATTTAATTAAAAGTCCCTTTGCTCATATTTATGGGCCATCCTCCCTTCAAATATTAACCTTCCAGGTCCTGAGAGGCCGGGACGACTCAGCCTGCTCAGCGGGCTGGACGACCTGGACAGCGTTAGAGAGCGCAGGCTTGTTGAAGAGGAACAGAAATATCATGTTTATAAATTTCCTCATCCAACCACCTTACCTTAAGCATGCGGATCAATGACTTTACATCAGGAACAAGTGAGTTACAGTTTGGTCTGAAACTATTTGCATTTCCATTGTGAAAAGTTGGGAAAAGTTCCTCAAAAAAATTAACCTGAATTTCATCTCTCTGAACCAGCTGAGCAGTGAGGGGGCCACAGAGATGACTGCAAAGGAAGAGGGAGATCACAAAAGTTCAGAAATTTACTGTAATCTGAAGTTATTTAATAATTGAAATGAATTTATCTGCAGCCGATGTGACTAATACCAACTTAATTCAAGCTGAAAGTTCACCACAATCTTAAAAATAGAGCTGTGGTCGATGTCAGGAACATATGACCAAAAAGCTGAGCTGGTTAGTGACATGATTGGATATAGAAAATAAAGAGAGAAAAGAAGATAACTGTTCTGTGAGGGACTGTGTGAGCAAATATTCAACAACTTCAGAGTGATGATCTTGGCTTTATATCATCTACAGCATCTGATATTTATAAAAATCTTGAGAAATCTCTACACGAAAGTAAAATGGCCCCAAACCAACCCCAGACTGTAACATCTGCATTAAAAACTTGCATGACTCTGTAGTGGAAATCACCACTTATGCTCAAAATCACTTTAAAAACAGTTTGCAGGTTAAAACTGTACCATGCATAGAAGAAACCGCATATAAACAAGACACAGAGATGCTCGACGGATCAAAGGAATCAAATCAATGCATCTGTTTTCAGATTAAAGGTAGGGTTGGTAATCACAGCAAACTAGCATGAATTTGAATGTAGCATCTTCTCAGGACATCATCTATCCCTTCCCCCTCCTCTTGGAGCTCCTCCAAAACAACGCACCCGCTCACATGCGCGAGCGCTGCTGTCCGCTGATTCAAAATCTTAGACTCAAAACTTTGGGACTTTAGATTGGGAAGTCTTTGCACAGCAGGGACAAAGAAGGAAATGTTAGCATCAGGATGACCACATAACTAGCACCATGGCTAAATACTTGATCAAGATTAAAAATTGTCCTGAAACAAACCCTCAACGTACCTTTTCAACAGAAAATAAGCGACCATGGCATCACTTTTAAAGCCCTTGACCTCTTTCAGTTCTCTCCATCGCTGAAAAGCTGTCCCGATGTTGACTTTTGTTTTCGCCCTTGCTTTCTCCAAACTGTCTTGCTTCGGCCTTCTCTGCCTACATCTTTATTTTCTTGCTCTTTTTTGCAGGAGAAGCCGTTACCATTAATCTGGGTATAGGTAGTTTCTCTGCCGATCAGGGTGTAGCTTTATCCCTCTCAGCTCGGCTCTGCGCATTGAATCAGGGCCAGTGCATGCCGGCGACATGTACGCACAGGAGACATGCACGGGATTTGATTGGTTTAAAAATGTGGGACCCTCACGATGTGATTGGTTGATGTTTTCCCAATTTTACTCCTGCTGTAGATAGTGGCTATGTTTCGCTGTTTTTTAAGAACACATCATGTATTGACTGACATCGAAACATAAAGATAATTTTAACCAGAATAACAAAAAGTGTATCTAAATCAGGTTACCAACCCTACCTTTAATTCCAGTAACTATGATGGTATATGGATGCGTACGGGTCCGTGGCACGGTAGACTCCCACATCTGTGAGGGTTCCATCAATGCTGAACAATACTGAAACATAAACACATCCAGAAAACGTGTTTTTATGATAAATAACACAACAATATAAAAACCGCTTGTCCTATTGTGAGAGTGTAAATGAAGTAAACATCTCTAATCCTCCACAGGTACCATATGTGACATGTCACAGTGTGGTATCCATCGTCTCCTCTCCTGTGTTCTCACTTGTAGCTCCTCGGTTCACACATCCAGGTGCTCGTCTCCTCCTGCAGCCTTCATCTTCCCGCCTTCAGCCCATGTTCGGAGCTGCCATCAGGCGGAGGAGGAACAGGATCCTTTCTCTCTCCACGTTCTCACACATTCACACTCATCTTCAGACTGCAGGGACTATCAACACTTCACAGTGTTCTCAGTTTCTAATGAGAATGAGATCACAGGTAATGTTCATTTAAGACCTTCAAAAACACTCCACTTCACATAACTGTTTTATGAACCAGTGCTCACTTTGTGGAAGCACCTCACTATGTTCAAGCACCCACCTGGGGAGCGCTTGTTCATTACCTTTGGCGATACTTAAACATAATGCCGGTATTACTTTGGCTAATACCTTCATTTTAAGCATTTTTGTGACTTGGACCGGTTTAGTGCATTTTTCTATCGGTGATTTTAAACATTTGAACGACAAAGAGGAACTGCAGTGAACTAAAGCAAGAAAAGAGGTTCAATTTTCCTCATTTCTAACTTATATAAACTATAAGACACACACGCAGTCTTTAGGAGTGTGGGAAAATGCTGAAAAAGACAGTCCCTTAATGGAGCAATAAACCCTGGTTATATTTAACACACAAATCTGAGGTTATTCTGAAGTGTCTGCGGTGAGTTTCAGCTCTTTGTTTTGGTTATGACACCCTCAGATTTAGATTCGCTTCTACAGATCTCACCTGTTTCCAGCTGTAGTTCAGAGTCTCTCTAAAAAAAACACCAGAAATATTCAGGCGAACTAAACAGAGGCCAACATGAATGAACAGTTTATGGCAGGACCGTCCAGGATGAGATTGTTTTAGTTTTTGTTCTCCTTTTTTCCAGTCCTGTTCTTGTTATTTTTCTTCTTGTTCTTGTTCCTGGAGTTTTTTTTTCTTTTTTTCTTTTTCTTGTTTTTGCGCTCAGTTCTAGTTCTCTTCTTTTCCTACATATGTTTGTGTTTCTATTCCTGTATTTGTTCTTGCTTTTTTTCTGTGTCTTACTATTGTTCTAGTTCCTATTCTTGATTTTGTTCTTGTTTTAGTTTTTCGCATTGTTCCTATTCTTGTTATAGTTTTTGTCCAGTTGTTTTTCTTGTTTTCGTTCCTGTTCCTGTCCTTGTTTTAAGTCTTCTTTCTTGACTTGTTCATCTTCTTGTTTGCATCCTTGTTCTTGTTTTTATTTTTTATAATGTTCCTATTTTTGTTTCTGTTCTTGTTTTTGATCTGGTTTTTGTTTTTGTCCCTTTTTTCTCTCTGTTCTTGTTTTTGCCCTTTTCTTGGTTTTGTTCTCATTTCTTTTGTTGCTCCTCTTGGTCCTGTTCTTGTTAAAGATTTGCTTTAGCTCTGTTTTGTTTGTGTTCCTGTTTCTTTTTCTGTTCCAAACCTTTATCATTCTTTATTATATTGCTTTATTTTTCCCTCCTGCTCTCATTCCTTTTCTTTGTCCTTTAGTTTTTTTGTAACTCTTCTTTCAAACTTGTTATTCTTTCTTTGGTTCTCTATATTTGGTCTTTCCTTAATTGTTCTGATTCTCATTTTTCTCATTTAGTTAATCATTTTTCCTTGTTTTTCTTTTTCCTCTTATTTTTGGTCTTCCGGTTCTTCTTATTCTTGTTCTTTCTTTGTAGTTTATTTGTTTATTTTCCTCCATGTTCTTGTACTTGTTCTTTTTTTTGCCTTCTTTGAAATTTTTTCTTGTTCTCTACTTTAAAAAATTTCTCCTGAGCTGTATTTTTAGACCTTTTTAGACTTTGTAGGATATGACAACCAAGAAGAGACAGAAAAAAGGGCAGTAGAGATGCTGGGGAGACGAAACAAAGTGCCATGGCTGGGAATTGAACCACTGTCATCTCCAAAAAGGGCTACAGCCTTTCTATACGGGGCACGTTTAGACCACAGGGCCATCAACACCCTAGTTTTTTTATTTTTTCCTTTTCTTTGGTTCTTGTTCTTGTTTGTTTTAGTTTTTTCTTTCTTTTTGAGCTGTCTTGGGAATCTTTGAAAAACTCATTATTTTAACAATGAACAAAAGACAATCTCAGTCAGGAGGAAATCCTCACACACAAATTTATGATAACAAAAACAGCTTTCTTGTTTACTAATGTTGTCAAATAGAATTAGTATTATGAAATATCGCTGTTACCTCCAACATCAATCCTGTAAACCTACGAAAACTGTGCCGTTCCCTAAATCAAACACGGAAAACCATCTTCCACAAAACAAAACAGCTTCAGTCCTCGGCTCTCTACAAATTTTGAGTTAAATATGAACTATAACTAATGTGTAAGTAATGTACGTAAGTGTTGGATAAATTGCAGAGAAGAAAAGGAGAATAAGTACTAAGAGGTAGAGAGTAAAGAGGAGGGTGTGTTTGAGTATTTGTGAAAGAGGGAGAGATGGACGGACATGAAACAGACAGAAATAAAGAGAGAGAGGGAGGATATTGCTGGATAGCGTGAAGACAATAATGCAAACTGACACTTTTGAAATGAGATGCCGGTTACCTTGGCAACAGGCCCTGGGCAAGGGGCTACCGGGATGGGGTGAGGACCAGTGAGGGTGAGCGAGTGCAGGCGAGAGGGGCTGCAGAGAGTGCTGAGATAGCGAGTAAATGATGTTTGATTAGAAGCGCAATGATTTAAAAGCGAGCAGAGGGAGGCGCGTGTGTTTACATGTTCAGCAGCCAGAGGAGGACAGGAGTGTCTGCGGATACGAGGACGGAGACATATGAAGATGTAGAACTCCACAGGAAGCAGGTCGGCACTCAGACGAGCCTCTGAAGGGTTCGCAGTGCAGATGTTTACCTGGGGAAGCTCTACAGCTCCACTCAGGTCACAGAAACAAACAGCATGAGCTTTAATGTGGTACACAGTGTTGGAGACATCACTGTAATATAGGTTATTTAAAAATAACAGTAGAGCAAGACGCCAGGTGAGTTATGTCACCTAAACATACAGGATAGCAATACTTCACAAAAACAGGTGATTGTTATGGTGGCTTTTTATTGAAGCACTGTACGCTAGATCTTCTCTGCAACAATGAAACAAATAACTTGTCTCAACATGCAAACTCCAGAGCATTCCTCAGAGGGATCCCTAGTTACTGCGACAGCTTTTACACTTTTCAAGAGTTCAACTTTGTTTACTTTCTCTTTTTCAAACAAGCCTTGAATTTGGGCAGGGTGATAAACCAAAAATTTACAAATACAAATGTATGACAATAACCAACATCATTTTGCCCATGTCAATATATTCAGTGTAAAAAAAAAATCAATAAATAGAAGTAGGTTTTGGATGTGTGTAGGTAGGCTATGGTCTCATGTCCCTTTAAGACATTATCCTACATCAGAGACGTGACCTGACTGCGTATGTGTGCCTTATGTCAATGTGGCGCATTTCCGCCGTTAGTAACAAGACGTAAACATGGTGTCTTACACAACTACTTTGATGGATACAGTCTTTTCGTGCTTTCATGCTTGATGATCATGTATAGGGCTGGGTGATATGGCCTTAAATCAATATCACGATATATTGAGCAGTTCACCTCGATAACAATAAATGGACGATAACTACTCCACAAGCTGCTCACCCCCTCCCACATTAACTTCATCTACTTCAGCCGCTACAACTTTTGAACCGTCCTCCCTCTCCTCACCTGTCTTTCCCTCTGTGTTACGAACTGGATGGGGTGAAGTCATGTCTCTGATGTAGGACAGCGTCTTAAAGGGACATGAGACCATAGCTTACCTACACACATCCAAAACCAACTTTGATTTATTTATTTATTTATTTATTTTGACACCAAATATACCGATATGGGCAAAATGACATTGGTTATAGTCGTAAATGTCGGTATCTGTAAATTTTCGGTTTATTGCCCAGCCCTACTCATGTCTGCTAGGAGCAATATAACCCCTCTCAGAACCTGGCTCGGGTCTATTCTGAGTGGAGGGAAAAATCCTGAATCGGATGAAGTGAGCCACTATAGCGTTTGTTGGTTTGTTGACAGCACAGTCGTAAATACAACTCTTCTTCTTCTGTGGTTGTTTAAGTGAATCAGACAACTCTGCGCATGTCCAATTGCTTCTAATCTGATCAAAACTTCACGTTACGATCGGATTATTTGGTTTTGTGCCCATATAAACTGTGGATTTGGATGATTGAAAGAAATTTTGCACGTGTCACTTGTATCTTTGATCATCTGCGGCTAAATAACCATTGACTATTCAGATCTAAGTTTTAACTGGATTCATGGGACAGAGGACAATTTTCTTAAATCCTGTTTTCTTTGTGTTCACGTTGGTTGAAGTAAATGCAGATGAAGAAAAAGTGCTGAACTTATGTTCAATTATGCAAATGTATCCTGTAACTCTTGAGCTCACAGTGTTATTACAGTTGGGTCCTTTCCACCTTTTAAAGATTAATTTGATTTTAACCCAGCGCTAATACTCACAGCAGACTTTTATGAAACAAACACTGATCAAACAGGGACATTATCTCTTGGACTGAATGGTGAAATTGTTGTGAGGCCTCAGATTCATTTCCACCTGTCAGCCACCAGCGAGGCTGTTACACAATGTTAGATCGCTTCATTTAATACATCCACACAATGCTGCACATGTGACATGTAGAACGACTCCAGACATTTTTAATTCAGACATTATGGGCTACTTTTGAAGCACCACAATGAGGCAAGTTGTCACCGTTTTTCAGCTTTATGCGGCACAAGTCGACTGAAACGAGCGGCAAGTCGCTTATTTTCTAATCTCGAGGAGAAATAGAGCTGCCATGTTTACTGCCTTTATGCAAAATAAGGATTTACAGGCAAGAGCTTTTCTGTTTTTGTATTAAAAATAAAGTTAATTCAAGATATCAAATGAAGCTTTTACAGGAAAGGATACTGTGATTTATTAAAGACACAAACATGTGACCTGCAGATGTAGTTTTGGCATCAAATAGCAGGTTCAAGCCCCGTAAGAGAGAGTGAAACCTCATACAGATAAAAGTTTAAAGGAAGTTTATCAAAAATAAAAAAACCCAAATAAAAAAAATCCCGTAAATAGATCTACATCTTTTAAAAAAGCCAGGTAAAAAGGCAGGGATCAGAAAACACTGAGGCTTCAATCTTTTCAATATTAATTGGTGTTTTCATGTAAGTTGAAAAGTCAGAGCAGGACTTTATCAGCGGAAAAAGCCAAAACTATAACCACTGAAACCTGCACACAACCTTTCTCTAAACCCGTCTGACACCAGCAGGAATACCAGTGAATATTTTAAATAAAAAATGGGTCATGGCTGCATGATTCAAACACCAAATAACCTCACTTTGTATTCAAACTCAGACTCAAAGATTTCAAAGAAAAAAAAAAAAAAACAAGTGGAGCAAAATTACACAAAAATCTGTACGGTGTTATTCAAAAGAATTTTTTTTTTTCTGTTTTAGATGATTTAATATCAATTTGGATATTTTGTACGGAGTTTCTCATAAAAAGGGGATGGGTGCAAAAAAACAAAAGGGGCTTTGATAAATTAAAAAAGGTTTTAATACAATCACCTTAATCTTTTATTTCATATTATAACAAAACAGCAACAGCAGCGGATAAGAAAAGTGCAGAAGAGGTGCAAAACCCAAAAGGGAAAAAGATTTAAAAAGTGCATATAAACAAAGAAGACTAGTAATAAAAAAGACAGAATAAACATCAGTCAGAGCAAAAAACACACATTTTTAAAAATATTATAAACAAACTACACAAGCATAAAATCTGCTGTAAATGACCAAGTTCAGGCTGATCTGGTTAGTGATTCCAACGTTTTGGACCTCGATAACAAACAGTAAATTGTCCTTGTTACAGAAACTATCAGGTCACAGATGCATTCTTGATGAAACACAAAAACAAAATTTTATAAAAATATGAAGCATTTAAAGATCTTTGAACCTGTGTCTCAGAAAATGTCGCTGTTTCTGTCGGGTGAAAAGATGTTTGAGGTTTGAAAAGAAAGAATACATCAAAGTGCAACAAACAGAAAGTAAATATTTCTCTGTAAAACTTGACTGATTCATCAGTGAAACAGACACTTCAGTAATTCAGCTAAAACATGATTAGATGCAGAGCCATCTTTTTCAATGGTTACTCTATATCTGCTCTTGGGTTCAAATAGCATCTATTGTGTGTTGAGAAATAATCTACAGTTGTGAAAGCATTCGTAAAATGAGCTAAGTGTAGCATTAATTTTGTTCATGAAATTCTGACTATTTTTGTCAGACAGGAAAACACAAGTATCATCAGCAAAGAGGATACAAAACATGTCTTAATACGAAGGAGCAAGGGACCAAGGACAGATCCTTGGCGTTCTCCGCATATGAGATAAACTCACCACAATGTTCCTGTCCTTTACTTTGGGGGGTAAAATAATGTTTTATAGTATTTTAATGAAAGAAAGCTCACGCCTGAATTGTCATCAGTCATTATGAGTCTTTACGGCTTTAAATATTCTGTCTCTCTGGATGCTAACTGTGCCGATATTAGGTGTTATCATGCCTTTTACTTACTGTAAAATCCACTCACTCTGGAAGGCCGTCAACTTTCTGGTGTGAAACTCTGTGTTTCAGAAACACCCTGAAGCTTTTTTTTATCTAACAGATAATATCAGAGTGTTTCCGGATAATATTCAGATCCAGGTCTTTAAAAAACAAAAGTGATCTGTGATGATTTATGTGTTAATGTTGATGATACAGTGTTATTTTTGTTATAGCAGACTGTGCTAGACGGGGGCTGCCATGTTTGTTTTGGTTAAAACTGAGTCTGCTGAGTCAGCTGGTCTGCTATCAGCTGACCTGTCAAGGTCACGGTCTTCTCTCAGTATAGAAATACAAAAAATAGAACTGTTTTGAATGGATTCATCCTATTCAGCTCATTCTTGTATGTATGTCTGTTTACTACTACTCAGAGGCTTCATTCACAGAAGTAATTATTTATTATTTCATCTCTAAATGAGAATCTCATTTAGAGATCGAGATATTATTAACTTAACTGAATTTATTTAGATTATGTGTCTGTTTTATGATCACTTTTAATTAATGTAGCTTTTGGTATGAATCAAGGTCGGTCTTTTAAAGGTGTTTTCCTCAGAATTTGTCTTAAAACGGAGGAGTTGTCTTATAATCAGGGCTTACTTTTCTTCGAGTCAGTACAGTAGTATTGGAATTACAGTTATCTGTTACTCTGTCACTTGTTCTTCACAACACTGCTGGTAAATACTGGGGAAAAACTTGCAATAAATAACGTATTGTTGTAAATCTGATGTATGTTTGCAGGATACCAGATTATCCAATGTTGATGCTTTTAATTCAGTGCGCCACTAACCCTATTAGACAGTTGGTGTAAAATCATCCCAGCATGTATCAGGTTTGCTGCTTTCTTAAATAAGTGAGCAGTGTGAGAAAATTTTGCAGGATTGCATCAAGTAGACGAGTAATTATGCGTCAGTGCAGGAGGCGGCCATCATTACACAGCTGGTCCATTTAAAGTGCTGATAGCATGTTAGCACTGTGTTGCTTACTTCACAATAAAAAGTCCATCAAACAACAGGGGGTTAAAAAAATGACAAGAGCACCTGCGTTAGAATTTTTTATTAAATCAGCCTGATTTAGGACGAGATCAATTTCCATCACTTTTGAATTATAAAAGTGTAAATATGTCATCATGGATCCACTAACCTTCAATCACTGTGGTGAAAACCTTCAGAGATGATAAAAAAAAATCATCATCAAAAAGCCGTTACAGGAGACGGACAATTAAAACTTGCAAATAAACCCATAAAGAAATAAATTAAAAGCAAACCAAGAATACTAAATTCAAATTTATAACATCACATTCAGCATAAATTTGAAAGTAAATATTATCCTAATCATGTGTACAAAGTTTGTAATGAATTGTGTGTTGCCTCCACGAGCGCACGACACACCCACCTACACACACACACACACACACACACACACACACACACACACACACACACACGGGCGCCACAGTGTAGTACACACAAACACACGACACACACACACACACGCACACGCACACACACACACACACACACACACACACACAGAAGCAGCAGAATTGAATGCGATAGGGAAGTGAAAAATGATTAACCCGGGGTCAGCTCTCAGCCTCAATCTCGGCAGCGCTCAAAGAACATCCTCGCCTGATTTACACTCGTCATGTTCCACAGCACACATTTGCATATATTTATTAAATTCACCACGCGTTGGAGAATAAAATATAACAGGGTGGAGGGGGAGAGAAGGGGAGGCGGGGGAGGGAGGGGGTTATTTAAAGGAGGCGTGTTTCTGATAGATTTGCCTTTCATTCATATTCATTTTCTCTCTGGCTCTCTGTGTTTTGTTCATTAGCATGGAGGTCAGTGAAGGCATCAGATGGGACTGCTTAACGCTGTAGGGAAAACATTGCTGTTGGTCAGCCTATTGAATTGACCTTGTTATCATTGTGACAGCCTGTGTTATTTATCAGTTAGTTAGATAAGCCGGCGTGCAGGATGGTGATAGTCCAGCACATGAAAATAAGTCACAATAGTGACAAACACGACGACTCGGGGGTGTTTTCACGCGTGCTCACTAAACTCTTAAATCTCAAAATTCACAAAAAAAGAGTGGAAAAGAAAATATGACCTGTTTGTAAGTTTTAAAATATTATTTCAGTGCTATTATGCATTTTTAAATTTGGCACCGGGGTCAGTTGGTTATAAATCTACAATTTATACAATCTAAAATTGTGTAAAAACTATTAGCTGCATTCTTAAAGTAAAAATGGTCCAGATATTTATACCTTGTATTAATTCGTGTGATCTGTTTTGTATCCTGGCAAAAGTTTAATCTGAAATTTGCTGGTCCTGAGGCGCTACTAACCTCGCAGTCTAAGCGCCTCATGCTCTCAAACTGCCTGGGTTTAAAGCCCAAAAGCCCCCCACAAAAAAGGTTTATCTTTCTAAAACCACAAACCTTTAAACATCAAATGCTAACATGCATACAACGGATGTAATCTTGCCAACATGCTGAAATTTAAATAGAAAAGGTGGCTAACATTAAGGCTTGTGAATATCACCATGTCAGCTAAACAAGAACGAGCCCGTAAAAAAAAAATGCATTGTCATCATTAGCATAACAAATGTGCTAACTTTATAGCTTACCCAGCTAATGTGAAACTGCTACTGCACAAAAGTTACTTTAGATGTACTTAACAGAATGATAAAGGTGGTGATGGGGGAGATTTAACACAAAAAAATTTTACTAAAGTAACTTAGTTCGCTAGTATGCTGATGTTCTAAACTAGCATTGCAGCGCGCTAATTTATGCAGAAGGAGTTTCGCAATTTCAGTTTCTTTCTGAGTTTGTTTGTGTGCTAATATACTAAGAAAAACTGTTAAACAAAAGGACATTATAAAGACAGGCATGTAACATTGGGGTGTTAGCATACCAACAATGATGATTAAAGAATGTAACATGGTCAAAATTTCACTCAATAAACCTGAACATCACTGTGAGCACAGGCTTACTGTATTTTTCGCACTATAAGGCGCACTTAAAATCCTTTTGGCTTGTCGGAACACTGCAGCTACCGTAGCCTCGCGGAGTTATTGAATGAATAAATAAAGTTTGAATCTGACTGTAAAGTTTTTATCTGACTGATTTGTTTGGCTTAATGTGCTTTATAATCTGGTGCACTTTATAATCCGACGCGCCTATGTATGAAAATAAACGCGAGTAGACATGTTTATTGATGGTGCGCCTTATAATCAGGTGCGCCTTATGGTGCAAAAAATATGGTATATACACTCACCGGCCACTTTATTAGGTACACCATGCTAGTAACGGGTTGGACCCCCTTTTGCCTTCAGAACAGCCTCAATTCTTCGTGGCATAGATTCAACAAGGTGCTGGAAGCATTCCTCAGAGAGCTTGGTCCATATTGACATGATGGCATCACACAGTTGCCGCAGATTTGTCGGCTGCACATCCATGATGCGAATCTCCCGTTCCACCACATCCCAGAGATGCTCTATTGGATTGAGATCTGGTGACTGTGGAGGCCATTTGAGTACAGTGAACTCATTGTCATGTTCAAGAAACCAGTCTGAGATGATTCCAGCTTTATGACATGGCGCATTATCCTGCTGAAAGTAGCCATCAGAAGTTGGGTACATTGTGGTCATAAAGGGATGGACATGGTCAGCAACAATACTCAGGTAGGCTGTGGCGTTGCAACGATGCTTAATTGGTACCAAGGGGCCCAAAGAGTGCCAAGAAAATATTCCCCACACCATGACACCACCACCACCAGCCTGAACCGTTGATACAAGGCAGGATGGATCCATGCTTTCATGTTGTTGACGCCAAATTCTGACCCTACCATCCGAATGTCGCAGCAGAAATCGAGACTCATCAGACCAGGCAACGTTTTTCCAATCTTCTATTGTCCAATTTCGATGAGCTTGTGCAAATTGTAGCCTCAGTTTCCTGTTCTTAGCTGAAAGGAGTGGCACCCGGCGTGGTCTTCTGCTGCTGTAGCCCATCTGCCTCAAAGTTCGACGTACTGTGCGTTCAGAGATGCTCTTCTGCCTACCTTGGTTGTAACGGGTGGTTATTTGAGTCACTGTTGCCTTTCTATCAGCTCCAACCAGTCTGGCCATTCTCCTCTGACCTCTGGCATCAACAAGGCATTTCCGCCCACAGAACTGCCGCTCACTGGATATTTTTTCTTTTTCGGACCATTCTCTGTAAACCCTAGAGATGGTTGTGCGTGAAAATCCCAGTAGATCAGCAGTTTCTGAAATACTCAGACCAGCCCTTCTGGCACCAACAACCATGCCACGTTCAAAGTCACTCAAATCACCTTTCTTCCCCATACTGATGCTCGGTTTGAACTGCAGGAGATTGTCTTGACCATGTCTACATGCCTAAATGCACTAAGTTGCCGCCATGTGATTGGCTGATTAGAAATTAAGTGTTAACGAGCAGTTGGACAGGTGTACCTAATAAAGTGGCCGGTGAGTGTAGTTGCTGCTCTGGTTGTGCTAACTGTGATATGTTGTAGTGGTGGGCAAAACCATTCATTTCAGTGAACCGGATCATTCCGGGTCATTCAGTAAAAAGACCCGTTCATTTTGGTCATTTCGGTCAATCGGTCGTTAGTCAGTCCGCTCGTTCATGTTGTTCACGTTCGTGAATGAACGTGATGAGCGAACGGACTGACTGCACTTCAGACGCAACAGCGCAACAACATGTGATCTTGAATTCTGAAGCATTACACCCCTCCGGATCCGATGTTGAGAGCGTCTCAGCTCCCCGGTCCGACGTTACGACGCCCCCGCGGTCCGACGCTGTGACCGCTGCACTCCCCACTTCCCATCCCCGGTCCAACGCTGCGATCGCGCTGCACTTCTTGTTATATAAAATGATAGTAGGAATAACAAAATATATAAGGTTTTTAATGTTTTTTATTATTTTGAGGTGCATTAAAAACAATAATAAAAAGTACAAAATGTCAACAGACAGTGCAAATGCGTATTAATAGTTGTCTCTCTGCCTCTGGCTGCAGCAGCAGCTGTGTGCCTTTGTGTGTGTGAGACTGTCCCGCTCGCTCGGGCTCGGCTGTCGGCTCGTGCGGCGGCCAGTCAACTCGGTCTTTCAGTCAACTCGTTCATCGGTCTGGATCTTTCGTTCACTCGGTCTTTCAGTCAACTCGTTCATCCGTCTGGGTCTTTCTTTCATTTAACCCGTTCTTTTGTTCAACTCGGTCTTTCGTTCATTTAACCCGTTCTTTCAGTCAACTCGGTCATCCCGGTCTTTCAGTCAGCTCAGTAGTACTGCTGCTGCTTCTCTAAGCCCCACCCACACACAGAACGAGGCGCGACGATAGGATAAGACAGGCAAGCACGGAGATAGTCCCTCTTCAGCCAATCAAAAGAACTGAACGGACTGAACGGGTCATTTAGGGGGGGAGAACTAGTTCATTTCGTTCACCAAAAAGAACTAGTTCTTTTGATCTGTTCGTTCAAGACCGACACACGGTTTTTTATCAACCAAAATGATCAATATCACACCTTTAGATCAGTTCGTATTGATTTTATTGGTGTCTTTGTTGTGGTACGGCTGCACAGAGCACTCAACGCGGACTCTCTGTTTGTGTTTGGATAAGCAGTTTGCTTGAATTGTTAAAATAATGATAAAAAAAAAAACAACAATCAATTATCAGGCTGATAAACAGGCTCATTAAGTAAAAATTAAGTCTGCCAGGCTTGTTGAAAACACTTTTACACAAGATGATTTTTCCCAAAGTAGAGAGAGGTTTACTCTCCACCCACTGCCTCTACAAACACAGTAATTAATTCAGCTTTTCCCTTTTTGTTACAGTTTGAAGATTCTCACTGTTCAGATTTCATTTTGATTAATCTCACCCAAAAAACTAAAAACCACCCCCCCTTTATGCTCCCTATACCATCCACCCCCCTCCTCCTCCTCCTCCTCCTCTTCCCTCTTTCTCCTCATACCTACTGATGTGAGCAGCCGTGGCAGGCCGGATCAATAGGGCTGAAACCTGTCCAGAGCTTTAATCCATCAGTGGTGAGCTGGGAGGAGAGACAGGGCAAGGAAGCCATCACTCACACCCAGATCTCACCCCTCTCTTCCTCCGCCTGCTAAATGGACATCTGGAGAATATTGTCAAGGAGCTTTTTTTTTACAGTCAAATGTGGCTTTGTGCTCATTTACCTTACTCTGAAAGGAGCTTAATGTTGCATTTGGATGAACGTAAATTCACCCACACAGCAACACCTACTGTAATCTGACATAAAAGCTTTGACTCACTGAAGTTGAAAATTTGACTTTACTTAAGAAATAACCACATTTCTGAGGTAGAGTTCACTCTCTTTATGTCTCTCCTACACAAAAATATTTCTTCATATTTTCCACTAACGCTCATTATTTTCCTCACGACCCGTATATTTCCCATTCTTTGTTCTTAGAAACCATTTAAACATTGATTGTTAGGATAAGTGTAGACCTGTATGCAAAAGTTTCTCTATATGAAACAATAGCTGTTTATGAGAACCTCATTAATGCTGACTATGCAGTTTGCTTTTCAAAGTCTCTGTTAATGTAAAGCAATCATAGTTTCTAAACTAAAGGTTATATGTGTGTGAATAAGAGCGTACAATAATAATAATAATAAACTTTTACATTTTCTTTATACCTGTATGCAGGAGCCTGTTGTGTATCTTTTTATGTATATACTTATGTAAAAGCCTCTCTGCAGCCTCATTTGTCAACAGAGCTGTCAATCATGATGTCACATCCCCTTCTGGTTTAAAATCAAATATCTTATCCAAGCTGAACATCTCAGAAATATGACCTCTTGGGCAGAATTCAGCACGATAAAGGCATTTTTTTAAATATGTATTTGAATTTCCCTTTAATATATTACAGAGGCGAAATTTAAGACATGTACTCGAACAGGTCAGTAGAGAGAGCTCTAAATCATTTGACTTCACAGTCATGGATAAGATGAGATAAAATATGCCTTTAAAAGTCCCACAGGGGGAAATTCCAATTAACAGCAGAATTAATACAGACACAAAAAGAGAGATTAAAGGATAAAGAAACTTAAAGTTAAAAAAAGATATGTACATGAGCCTTATTATATACATGTGTACATAATATAAATATATACAAATATGATTTATTGCACAATGAGGTTTCTGTTGTGGACACTCAATGTTTAGATTTACTTGCTGTGAACTATGTGTACGTGAATGCATGATTGTCACCTGAGTGTTAGTTTCGTGCATTAGTGTGCATGTGCTCAAAAATTAATGTGATTCTCAAACTCTATGTACACAGGGTCCGAGGAGATTTAAAAGACAACACAGCAGCAGGGAAACAATGGAAGAGAGAGTTTGAAAGACTGACTGATAGACCGAGCCTGCTGGACTAATCCACACCTGAATGAGGAGTCTCGACCACACCATGAGTCTGGATGTATCCTCTGTGGACGTGCTGAATACAGTCAGGTACGTATATAAACACTCATGATGCAGCCAAAGCAAAAACACACAGCAGGTACACTGAATATCCACCTTCATGGTCAAATAACAGCCTAAAAGCACTCACATACAGTACATTGATGTATATGTATATTTGGTAACACTTTATTTGACGCCTATCTCTAGAACGCATTATGAATATGTTTATAATGTGTTCTAGCACTGTACAACTATAGTTATAAACAATCATAAATGATCATAATGCTTTATAGAAATAATCACAACACATTATAAAGCATTTTATCATGACTTACATTGTCAGGTATTATAATGTGTTATAGCTGTTAACAACAGTTGAATTTCATTATCTATGCAGGCATTTTGTGAGTTGTTAACAGTTATAATGCATTATAATACCTGACCTTGTAAGTCATAATAAAATGCTTTATAATGTGTTATGATTATTTCTATAAAGCATTATGATCATTTATGATTGTTTATAACTATAGTAACATAGTGCTATAATGTGTTTATAACGCATTACACATATATTTATAATGCATTATAGAGATAGGCGTCAAATAAAGTGTTACTGTATATTTTTTAAAGCTCTTATTTTTTGCATATACTATATTAAGGTGAGACATTTTCTGTGCCTGCGTTGTTTTGGTGCAAGATTTATCTGTTTCATTCAGTGAAAATGTTATACACCCATATGTTCCCTTTTGTCGCAGCATTAAAATACAAAGTGTTAAGATAAGATAAGATGTTCCTTTAACAGTCCCACGGGGGGAAATTCCGAATTTACAGCAGCATATTACAGATACAGAAAGAGAAAAATTAAAAGATGAAGAAACTTTGAGTTAAAAAAAGATATGTACATGAGTCATATTTACATATGCACAGAATTTACGTAATAACATGATTTATTGCAAAAGCAAAAATACAAAAGTTTGTACAATTAAGTGCACTAATGTATCTAGTTATAGTACAAATTACTTCTACATTTAAGTTCTTATACAAAAAGAAGAGTAAAAAGGAAAATATATACAGTACCTGTGTCAATATTTTCTTCAAATTTGGGGATTTAAAGCTCCTGTGAGGAACTTCAGCGCCCCTGGTGGACAAAGTGCTCTTTACTGTTCTTGCCCTCTTTTTGCTCAAATAGTGATTTTTGACTAAAGGAGACAAATGTGTCATTTATTGTCAATATTTTATGTGTAAATTGTGTGTAGGTGTTTTCTATACCTACCCCCTCACACCAGATTAAGGCTTTAAAAATTAGGATCTAAACATCTTTAGCCTTGTTGCTGATGTTCCTGTTTGCTGTTGGATATCATAAAAAGGCACAAAACTATTGTACGAGCAGTCTCAGGTAAACCTGCACTCTTTAACACAGACACTAAAAGCTGCTGGTCTGATGGAGGTCAGGTTATCTGAGTTTATGCATTCATGTTTAAAACCCTGCAGCCTTCAGAGGATAAAAACTCCCCTTAAATAATCTTTCTGGATCACACCTTCTGACATAATCGCTGGTTTTATATCCCCATTATTAACAGAACAAACACACCGAACAGAAACAAAACACAAATAAATAAAAAACAGAAAAGCAAAACATTGGACAAACTCCATGGCTCAGGTGGCGAGCAGCCAGGCGTCCTGCCTCCCTCAAGGCCCGTCTGATACGTAACATCACAATTGGCAAGAGGGATGTGAATCTCTGCGTTTCTCTTCCCCTCCTGTCTGTGCCTCACACACACACACACACACACAAACACAAACACACACTCACATGATGGGGTAGCAATGGCAGAGGACCAGCAGTCTGTGCCAGTGGGCGTAGTGGGACTGCCGGGCATGCTGGGACCAGCCTCGGGAGTTAAGACTCGCTGAACTACAGCTGCAACCAACCTGGACGCCGCCAGAGAGAGAGGGACACATGCTCTGACACACTGCTACAGATACAAAGACTGTCCAACACACACACACACACACACACACACACACACACACACACACACACACAAAGGCGTCTGTCTCGTCCCGTGATATGTGTCTCAGCTGTGCCAGCATCCCTGTCCCCCCCTCAGGCCTGGACCTCCCGCGTATGCCACCCCTCTCCACCCTCTCCTCCATTCCTCCTCCTCCTCTGCTCCTCCCTGCCGGTAGCCTTTGTGGGCTAATTAGCGGTGAAATTGGTGAATTGCAGGCTCGGGCACACACACACACACACACACACACACACACACACACACACACACACACACACACACACACACACACACACACACACACTCGTACAGTGGTTGAATTGCAGGCTCAGGCACAGCAGTGCAGACACTTCAGCATAGCCAAGCGCCACTTCAGCCCCTGAAAAGCCTCTGAAATGGGGCACACAACACAAAGACAAGAGCGGAGAGGAGAAGAAAGGACAGAGGGGAGGAGAAAGAGCGAAAGACTGTTAGTTAGAGCAGATGAAGGAATATATCTGTGTCTATTTACGATTTCAGTCTGTTCTCACGAATAAGTCGATGAAAACAGCAACTCGTCAGGAGCAACAACATATGGAGGTGCAGCTCTGTCTTCTCTTGTCTTAATGTGGATTTGAATTAAAGTGATATTGTTATAAAAGTAGAAAAAACTGACAGGGTTTGGGTAATGGAAGCTGGAGACTGGGGGTCAATTCATATGTGAGACCAACAGGGAATTTTTTCCTCATTGAGAAACCTCGCCTGTAAATGACCCAAATAATGATCAATTTTTATTTGAAACAATCTTTTCAAACTTAGAGATATTCTGGCGTAAAATTGATTAAGGGTCAAAAACACCGTAACACCAAGTTAAACACCCCCTCGAGAGATGAATGTTGTCAACCGCTTGCTTCTCTAGTTATACCAACTTTAGTGACACCGCACGATAGCAATACACAGCGGTCTAAGGAGCCATCAACAAACCTCAACCAAAATGCCACTCTATAGCCACAAATAATACTCAGAACAGCACCTAACTTCATCAACAGTACATATAGGGTCCCAGCCATAGCACTAGCCACCAAACATCTTTTTAACTTTGCCTGATTTCTTTATCAAAGAGACCAAACATAACTCCCCTACTCTCTTCGGCTTGTTTGTAGCAAGACCTCATGCCAGTCCATTACTGACTACAGTGGGGTGACGCAGCTCAAGGAAGAACATTTATGAACATTTTTTCATGAAAATGCAATCAGACCGAGACGGTAAGGCAGAAGAAGTACCACGTCTGCAGTGCAAAATAATTAATATGGTGATTATTACTTCAGAAAAATGATAAAGAAATGATCATAAATGTTCTTCCTTGAGCTGCGTAACCCCGCTGTAGTCTGTGATGGACTGGCCTGAGGTCTCGCTACAAACAAACGGCTGCTGGAGGAGAATGGGCGAGTTGTGTTTAGTCTCTTTGCTAAAGAAATTAGGCAAAGTTAAAAAGATGTTTGGTGGTTAGTACTATGGCTGGGACCCTGTACGTACTGTTGATGAAGTTAGGTGCTGTTCTGAGCATTATTTGTGGCTGTAGAGTAGCATTTTGGTTGAGCACATGGCTCTCTGTATTGCTATCTGCGGTCGTGACTAAAGTTGGTATAACTAGAGAAGCAAACAATCGGCAACATTCATCTCTCGAGAGGGTGTCTAACTCAGTGTTATGGTGTGTTTGACCCAAAAATAATTTTACGCTAGAATATCCCTTTAAGAGTTTATTGCTGGATGCTTTTATTTTGAAATGTATGCCCGTAATTATGTAATGTAATGTAAATAAATAATCGTTAATGAGTTAAAGCTCCCATAAGGAATTTTTTGACGTCAAAGAAATTACCTGAAATTTACATTGATACCTTATGATGTACAAAAGCAAACAGGACCAACAACAACATGATCATTTTAACATCAGCATTATTTTGAATGGGTGTGTATGTGGTTTCTGGTGCTTTCATTGTCAGCCTCAAGTGGACACTTCAGGAACTGCACTTCTACTGTGGGTTAATTGAATCAGCTTTTCCACTGTCATTGTGTGCACCATATGTAAATCTAAATGTAAATGTTCTTTATTTATACATCCCTTTATAACAACCCTTTCAGTGAACCAAAGTGCTTTACAATACATAGTTAATAAAAATGAATAAATAGAAACAATAAAAAAAAGAATCAGATACAGTGCAATAAAATAAATTCTCACCATGCTACTGGGTATTAAAAGCCAGCATAAATAAATACATTTTCAATTGAGATTTGAAAAGGCCCAGGTCAGAAATAAGTCTCAAATCTTTAGTTAAATGATCCGTAAATGATCCCACTAATGTCGGCAGGTGTTTGTGGACTGTAGAGGTCTTGGTGAGACACCTTTCAGTTAAAAACCGTATTAAACCACAAATATGTGTTTGCTAATCTGATCACTTTATTCCCTCTCATTGTGTGATTATTCATGAAACTGATATTTTGCTGACCGGTTGGAGGGAAAAGCAGAGAGGCAAACAAATTGAGGTTCATGATGAGTTAAAGTTGTTAGGTTTAAATAATTCAATAAGCTGACTGTGCAGGATAAAAAAACAAGAAACCATTTTGTGTTAATTTGTTTGTCTTCTTCTCTGATTTTGATTCTCCACCTGCGGGGGAAAATCTCACAAATGCAGCGATGTTTCTCTCCTCCTCTCATCCTCACACTTTTCTTATTTTATGCTCAGCTGGGAAGCCATGTTTTCTCTGTGACAGTCGATCACAGCTCAAGAGGGATGAGTCTGCTCTCCTTCGGATTTTCTGTGTTTCTCTGATTATTTTGTGTTTTTAAAAAATGCTACAGCCGCTCTCAAATCTTTAATTCTTTTCATTCTGGTCCCTTTTTCCTTCCAGACTCCTTTTCCAGCCTCCCTTATTTCCTCATCAGATCCCCTCCCTCTATAATTACCACTTATTAATCTTAAATGAGAGCCCTAACACGTTGCATGGTTTTAATACAGCCTGTTAATATGGGAGGTAATTTATGGGGTGTGTGTGGGATGGAGGGATGATGGAATGAGCGTCGTCCATCACAGAAATCATTACAGACTGAAGCCTCTCTTTCACCCTCATTGTGTTCAAGAAAGAGACACTCAGTGACTCCAGGTGAGAGTCAGCTTACCTCAAATTATGCCAAAGCTACTGGAAAAAAGAAAGATGACTTCCCTTTTACTTTTAAGAACAAATACCGCTCTTTTTCTCCTTACCTTCAAAACAAAAGACTTCTTCAGAATCAGACAAGTACCTGTTCAGTTCAGAAAGTTTCCAGTCATGAACCTGTTTTCAGTTTACTTTCACAGCTCACTTTTGTGTTAGTTTGCATGTTGCTGAAGGTTGTGTTTTCCTGTGAACACAAAAACCTGGATTTAAAAGTACAGATGCAGCTCAAAAAATTGAAGATTGTGAAAAAACTCAAATCAAATAATTCATCAAAAATTGAATTTGATTGCTTTCAAATTATTTAAAAACCTGTACTTGATTTAAAAACGAGAAAAGATGACTTATCATTTTCTAATTTCTTACTGCAAACACCTTTCCAAAAAGTTGGGACAGAGTTGTGTTAACCTTTGTGTTGCATCACCTCTTCCTATAAAAACATATCATAAACATTTGAAACCACGGAGACCAGATTTTAAAGTCATGAGTGTTTAATGTTGTGGTTTCTGGTGTCCATGATTTCCAAAAAATATGTCAAATTTTCCACTTTACTTCAGTTCATCATAATTGAGCAAAAACCTTCACTTGGATTTCTGGTTTATGTTTTCATTTAGTTTTAACCTGCATCGATGGACGCAGCAACGAATTGTGTGAGCAGACAGTAGGTTTTGGAAGTGATGCGGTGGTTTCCACTACAGAGTTATGTCTGTTTTTGATGAAGCAGTGCTGTTTGAAGGCACGAGTGAATACTGTAGACAATGAAATTTGACTAAAACCATATTTAGTCTCTCACAGAGTGGTGAACCTCTTTCCGTCTTAGACCCTAGTCTATCTGGAGTGCCCCTTTTATACCAAGTTATGATACTAACCTGATTCAGATCCACTTCATTACTGTATTTTTCGGGTGATAAAGCGCACCGGATTGTTTGCAGCACTGTGAATCAACGTGTCTATGTTCACACATAAGGCGCACCGAATTGTAAGGCGCATTAAGCATTGTTTGGATTATTGTTGCCTGCACGTACTCCGGGCTGCCTTACTTGAGTGCACCTCTAGTTTAGACATTACAGTCAGGCAGTCTTGTAGACTGCTCAGGGGTCTAGTTACAGGGCTGATCAGGTAGTGACAAAGCATACCGTAATGCTCCAAATATCCATTGAGCGTAGCGGCTTTGTTGCTTACCAAAGTCATACTTATGCATTTCGACGGATTTTTGAGTGCATTGTAATATGGAATCAGATTGTACCACATTAAATCGGTCAGTAAGCACAACAAATAATCATACGTAAGGCGCGCTGGATTATAAGGCGCACTGTAGATTTTTGAGAAAATTTAAGAATTTTAAGTGCGCCTTATAGTCTGAAAAATATGGTAGTTTGGAGATGCTCCTCCAGGCGTTTATTTTTTAGAATATCACAACTTTTTCAGTGTTTTGTTGTCCTCGTCCCTACCTGGGTATTAGCACCTGCTCACAGTGCCAGAACTACAAACAAATGATTTGCTGGTCATGCCACGTCACATTACTGACAGTAAATATAGAAACTCACTTGGTAGAAGTTGGGAATTTTTGTATTATCAATATTTTTATTGGCCATAGGAAATAATCTGATAATTTGCAATACTGGATTTCTCATTTTTCATGAGCGGCTTGAAATCTTTGCACAGATAATCTTGCCCCATAATTGATTGTTTTCCGTGGTTCACAGAGAGTCTTTTCAGATCCCTGGTCTTCAGATGGTTTATCTGTCAGCACTGTATCCCATTGTGCTTGAATAAAAGAAGCAGAGCACTGTTGTGGGCTGAACTGTCCTCCTCATCCTTCTTTGGCCCAGCCGTCCCCCAGGGACACATTAGTCTCTTAATGCTTTGTCATCAGCACAGGTTAATGGACCTCACAGCAGTCTGTTAAAAAACACTCCTGATCAATACACAGTGTGTGCAGAAACGGATATCCTCCAAAAATAGACCTACTGGACTTTTAAATGGTGACGAGTCGTCAATTTTTAGTGACAGTGGGGTAGAAATAATTACAGGAGCTGATGGCTGAGAGCGCTGACAGACACTGGATCTGTAAATGAGTCTGACAGCAGTTTGTGAAAAAGAAAAGAAAATACTACAAACTGGCTTGTGTTCATGGGCACAAATTTCCCTGTACTAACAAACAAGTGAGTCAGCATGAGTCTAAATTTGAGCTGCAACACTTGAGTGTCTGAAGAGGCCTGAAAATGAGATTCAAGTTAGACAGGGTTTTCACTGAAGAAGATACTGATTATTTATAAAACTTTCCTTTTAAGGACCCCACAGACTGTATATAAAAGAGGGTTTAGCCACAGAGGTGTCACCTAGCAACTACTTTGCACTGGAAATTTGAGCTAGAAAGCTGCAGTTCCTAAGGCGGCCACTAGAGGCTGGTTCCAAAGGTGATTCTGACCCCATAGAGCACCATAATAAAACTCCAAACTTTAAAGCATGATTAATCTTGTTCACAGCCTGGTATAAAAACAGTTTTAGTTTATCAGTTTATTTCTCCATTAATGACACCTAAACACTGAGAAAATATTTCAGTAACTTATCAATTTAGACTTTATTCTTGAAGGTCTTTTAAATTAAGTAATTTAATGTAAATCCAATGATAAAATTGTATATGAAGGTTAAAATAGTAAAAGAGCACCTTATGCCATTTTATCCGTAGATAAGGTGTCTGCAAAGGAACTTGATCATGTTTTATCCTCTAGAGGGACGAATTTCTAAACCATTTTTACCAGACATGAGGACACCAGAGTGGGTGTTCACCCCTCTTAAGTAAACCACCGCTGCCAGCCCTTTGCTTGGTCATCCGTTGGTCTCTCAGCTGTGTTTGTTATTGTTTCTTTGTGGGATTTATTTGCCAAATTCTACGGCGGTAATTGGTCTGTGTTTGAGTTCTCTCTGAGGTGTTATTTTGGTGTTATTTTGGCAAAAAGCAGTAAGTACTGGTGTGTAGATAGAGACCTAGTTTGGGCTACTGCAAATTCTATAGTATGGCTTAGGGATGGGAATCACTAGGGCCCCATGACCCGATATTATAACAATACTTGGCCCACAATACCATATCATTGCAATTTTTAACATTTTGCAATACAGTGAGTATTGCAATACAATGTATTGCAATTTATACAATTTTTCAACTGTTTAGCTAATTTAGCATTTGTCTTTTTACTTTGTTTGTCTTATTTACGCCATATTTTATTTTCATGTAGCACATCTTGCAAATCTTATACATATTTGTTGCACTAACTTTCTCCTGCTCTATGATTTCAACTCTGCAAACCTCACTGAACAAACAGCTGATTTAATTTTTTCATTATCATAGATTTTACTTCATATTAGCAATTTATTTGAAAAAATCAATACTTGGTCAATGAGACGATACGATATATCACCAGAAAAAATATCTATGCTGTATTGATTTTTTTCTCCCACCCCTAGTATGGTTGCAAAAGCATTTTTACACTGGTCCCTTTAGAAGCTTGCCCCAAGTGGCCATCAGAGGAACTGCACCCTCAGCCATAACCTCAGAGGTCTCAGGGATGAAAGGCGGAGGTCTCTTTCAAACATGGAAAAACTTTCACAAAACTGTCTACCTCAGAATAGTCAAACCGATGAGTTTTTGTCTATTTTTATAGCTGTATCTTCTGAATGCCAGCACCATCACTTGTAAAGTGTTGTGACGAGAAAAATTCTTGATTTGCTCTGACTTGAGATAATTTGAGCTTATATTCAAGTGCGACCACGTCGCACACCTGTGAACAAGAGCTGAACACCTTCATTCCCGACATTAACTCCTCATGTGGCGAGGTTTATTACAGAGCGCTCACCTCAGCTTGGTTTAAAGACAGAAAGATTTAATGTCGCTGCTTGTGAAGGTTGGCTGCAGGGAAAAGTAGAGCTATAAATAAAAAGCAGTGGGAAATGAGGATGACTGAAATATGGGAGCAAATAAGGAGAGAGAAATCATAAATGACAAAAGGGGAAGAAATGGAGTTTGTTAGGAGATGTTTTCATGTAATTTTTCAAGGCCTTTTATTTATTTTTTATCACTATAGGAAAATATAAAGTGAAGCATTGTAGGAAAACTGTGTTAAGATATGGAAAACAAAGAATATGATACATCTAAAGTATACAAAACCTGAAGTCTGAATGTATCTTTTGGCTAAGTGCTACTCCTTACCCCAACATGTTTTACAACTTACCCCACTTGCAGGTTTTTGACATCATCTCACAAGGTTTTTGATGACCTTGCAGAAGATTGAATTAGTCTCTTTCGTAGTGCACAAATGTGGGAACTTCATTTAACAATAAGAAAAACTCTAGTTCAAAAATTCAGTCAGTTATAGGAACAGAAGCAGAAAGTGTTGCAGCCATCCCTGGTCTTCCCTACATCACATCGCATATCTCTTTTAGAATTTGAACACATGAAACGAAACAAAGAAGAAATGCAAAAAAAAATCATCGGTATATGATCTCAGCATTGGCTAATTTCATGACCTAAGCTTCAGTTTTGGTATCAGTATTTCATAATCACTCTATCTCTGATTAATAAAGGCTGGACGACCAAAATAAGGATGCAAATATGTAAAAGAAAAAGAAGAGACAGACATACTTGATATTAGACTTGCAAAGACTGCAGAAAGGAGCCTTTTTAATTTTTGCAAATAAGCTCTTTTGTGCCTCATGAATTTCCTCGGCATCACTTTGTTTAGTTCAACTCTAACAAGATATATTAAAGCTCCTGTGAGGAACTTTGGCTCGGGACATTTTTGGCGCTCCCTGTGGACAAAGCAGTCTTTGCACCCCTCCTGCACCAATTTTAATCATTAAAATATTGTCACTGAAGGTCTTGTTTGTTTTTGTACATCTCAAAAATGCATCAGTATGAATTTATAGATAGACGTAAACAATTTCCTAACAGGAGCTTTAAGTTAAAGAAGCATCTTGTTGCTTGTTGCATAGGATTCGATGCATTTATGATGATAGAGATGTCTTGGTGCATGTTTTGTAGGAAAATTGCAGACTCTTTTGCGTGTTTTTGACCCCTATATTGTGAGAAAAAAAATCTAATAACATCCTTAAATTTATGCGATTCTTGGGACCTGAAAGTGTAGTAAAACTTGATTTATGGTTCTTTATTGAAAGTTGAAATCTAGAATAAAAGACAGTGGAAATTTAAGTCTGTGCAAAAGAGTTTTTTGGCCTCTGCAAATATGCGCCTGTTTTAAAAGCATAGTTTCATGTTGTTATTTAGAGTATCTCTGGTTTTTTTTTTTCTCCAGAATGAGACACAAAGTGGAGCACGGAGGGAGGATCTTTGTTCTGGAGAATCTGGTGCTAGTTAGCACTTTCAGCAAAGTCAAGCTCATCAGGCAAAGCAGGGTTGGAGGGGGACAATCAACACAGTCCAAACAGTGAGTAAACAAGCTAACACTTTAAGGGGGAAAAAAAACAGAAAAACATGAACGACCACTCCTGCACACACACACACACACACACACACACACACACACACACACACACACACACACACCCTCGGTCCACCTCTTATACATCATTATTTCTTCCTCCTCTCCATCTCCATCTCCAGCAGAGCCCGTCCCTGGTCAGGCTCCGAGTGTCTGGCACCTTTTCTCCCAAATCTGGCTCAAAGAGAGGAGGGAAAAAAAAGAAATAAAGGAAGGGAAGAAGGAGCGAGGAGGGAGGAAGACAGCGTGTTAACACCCTTTTCGACACCAGAGCCCCCTCACACACAAACCGAGCACAGCAAGCCGGCTAATTGTAAGGTGTGTGTGCTTGAATGTGTGCATAGATAATAGTCTGTGTGTTTTTATAAGGAGGTCTAGCTCTCTGCTGTGTTTCTTTGTAGTCCCAGTTCTTACCTAGTTTTAAACACCACATTGTAGATCCTTTTCTGCACTTTTCAGCTGCTATTTTCTTTTTCTAATTAGCTTTCTTTTACATTCCTCTTATTTTCCAACTCCGTGTTTTTTTTTCTCATTTCTTTGTCTTTGTTTTGTTCCTTTCTTTTGTTTCTGCTGATATTCTGCTCTTTCACCTCTATCCAATACACTCAGACATCTCTTTATTTCTCATTAGTGCGTTTTGACAGTTAATGAGTGGACTCGTGTGTGTGTGTGTGTGTGTGTGTGTCTGTCTGTGTGTGTTTGTGTGAAAGCTCCGTCTGCAAGCGAGCGAGGAAAAAAAGTGAAGGAGGTAAGGAGAGAAAGAGATAGTGGATGGAGGGAGGAGGGAGGGGGAGTGAAATTCATGTTGATAAATCATGTGGTCAGTAGCACAAGCCTATGTTTATCTCCTGCTGTCAGTGGAGTATGGGGTCTGAGATACCGCTCACACACACACTCACACACACATACACATGCACACACATCAACAAGGACGACAGAGGACTGTTGGTACCTGAGATTTCTTGCTTTCCCTCTCCCCTCCCTCCCTCGTTTTCTTCCTCCATCAGGGGGGGATGTGGAGGCCAGAGATAGAGCAAGCCTCCCCTTCTTTTTACCTGCTTTGTCCACCCCCTCCTCAATCCCATCAGTCAGCTGTTTGAGCTGATTACCGCTTGACTAATAGACGTTGAACTGCTTCGTTTTGTTCTCCAGTTACAGACATTTCCAATCAAATATCAAGTATGCAAAAATAATGAACATATTCTGCAAAGACTGAATTTGCTTCATTCAATTTGCTCAAGAAAGCACTGTATACTCATCCTTAATATTCAACACAACTCTGCATGCTTTATGAAAATCCACAAGCTTGAAATCTAAAATTAGATGAAACGTGATCGAAGCTGCAGGCAGTCACAGGTGTTCAGGTTTTTGTTTCTGTGAATGTGTTGCATCAAATAAAGGTCACTCTGCTTTGCACACTGAACACGATGTTGTGGAGAAGTTACGCTTCTCAGTGCAGCACGTAAAATTACATCACTTTTGATGCACATTTTTCTCTTAAAGATTTCATTTAAAGGTATCTGCAGGAAATGTGTTCATTCTTGTCTAATGCAAATCTACTGACACCTTTTTAAGTGATGGATTCATATAGAGACACTTTGTTCTACTCGCAGTACAGTAGGGGTAAAACCAATTAACCTATTTATCTGATTCAGGATCACATTTATACTTCTGAACACTGATTTTGCTTCTATATGATCCATGAACTGCTGCAAATCAAACTTAAAACCGCTGGTTTCAGGAGTAATTTCACAGATTTAACTCAGTGTGTTCATGCCCAGAACCACAAATCGGATTTTACTAAGATCACTTCAGGTGTCCCCCAGGGTCCTGTTCTGGGGCCCAGTCTGCTCTTTTTATCTTTGGTATGATGAAGTATTAGGGGGATGTTAAAGGAACTTTTTGAAATATTAAGAATGAAGTCATAATCTGATGAGAATGATGTCATACATCAAAATATTTCAACATTAAGGCCGTGTTAAAGATATTTTTTAAGATTACAAAAATAACGTTACTATTTCATGTACCAAAGTGAAGAAAGTGGAACATCTTGATAAATCAGGGTATTTGCAGGGTCTCATAAAGTTTTAAAATGCCTTAAATCCAATAATTTAAATTTAAGGCCTTAAAATGTCTAAAATTCTCTCAAAATCTCATAAAATGTCTTAAATATAGATTTTGCAAGGTCTTTAAAATGTATTGATGTTACTTAGAACAAAATAATTGCCATATGAATAAAGATCAATTTGAAGTTATGTAAAATGTTCCGATTTCCCTTCGTCTTTTTCCTTTTTGCCAGTATGGATGTTAAAAAGGTCTTAAATTGTATTCATTACAGTCTTTACAAAGTCTTAAATTTGACTTGTTGAAACTTGCAGAGACCTTTAAATTGTCTCTCATGTTTTTGCACCTTCGAATCACATCTTAATAAGTGCTGACATCATCATCTCTGACAGTGAAACCTCCTGTAAGCACTTATATAAGGGTAGACAACAAACCCTTAAGTGTACAAACTATCATGTTAAGTTGGTGTTTATTTTGGATAGAAACAAAGAGGTAGAAAGAAATAGAGAGAGTCTGTAGGGCTGCTACTATGGCAGAGTCTCTCTTATAAAAGACATTTTTTATCATAGTTAAATAAAAAGTACAAACAATATCTGCACTGCCTCTGTAACAAGAGCTAGAATAGCATTTATATATACATGTTGGATTTCTCTATATAGTTACTTTTCTTCTGCAGCAATGTCAATCAAGTTGGTGCATAAGATATAAAAATAGTGAAGGCTACGTTTAAAAGTGCTCAAGCTCCTTTAATAACCCGGCTGCCATAGAAACTTGAAGAGAGTTTTTAAGTGGTTGAGAAACAGGCTAATACTGATGCTTCATTATGACCTTCAAAAGCAAACGAAACCATCTGCATCGAGACAATTTTAAGTTTAGTCATTTTTAATGTTTAAAACCGTGTTTTTCCAATTTAACTTTATGATACCAGAGATTTGGTTTATTTCATCTCTCTCTGTTGACACTCTTACATCATCTCTCTTGTCCTGCTCCTCCAGCAAATATTATAAACCTGACTTTTTAATATTTAATGATAGCTTATTGAGTTTAAACCCTCTCTCTCCGGTTCCTCGTTTGTATTATTTGGGCCCGAGCTCTGAAGCACTAAGAAGACCTTGGTTTGTTGTGCCCCCAAGCAGTTTTCAAAAATCCATCCCCTCCTAGCAGTCTCACCAAGATAGAGAATTTTCTCACAAATATCCAGCTTCCAGTAACTTCAAAAAAGTCTCTTAATGTTGTGGTGAAATGTCACAAGAAGTCAGGTATTTGGAGAAAAAAAATGACAATAACCACCTCTATTGGGGCCATCTTCGGAGGTCTTTGACAAGTTTCTTCTTGTACAGCGCTTATCCGGTTTGCTTAGAAGCAGGTTTACAGGTAGAAGAGATCTGAATGATGAAAATCTCACAAGGTCATACAGAAAAGCCAAAAGCAAGCCCTCAAAACTGGCTGTTTCCCATCAGACAGGAAGTAGTTTTTTTCTCAGCCATGCACGCTCCAATCTGACCCCACCATACATAATGGGAGTCAAGGCCTGAAGAGATTCATGTGGTGATATGCATCACAGTTATAGCACCTCCTGGTGGCAGGTGAAAATATTGTGCTTTTACTCAAAGAGTTTATTCTCCAAGGACGTTGCACATGTCTGTCTCATTTTTGTCTAACGTGTCCTTGAGATTTTGATCTTACGAAAGAGGATCAGGGCCACAAGAAAAGAAAAAAAAAATAATTACAGGAGGGAGATTTTTTCAAATTTCCATTTTGAAATTAAAGTCGAAATTTCGAGATTAAAGTCAAAATTGAAAAAAAGTCAAAAATTTGATTTTATTCATGTCAACTTTAATCTTGAAATTTCAATTTATTTAATCGTGAAATTTTGACTTCATTCTTGAAATTTTCATTTTTATCTCGAAATTTCAAATTAATGACATCATTTTGACTTTTTTCATCTCTAATTTTTTTTTTCTCTTCACGTGTCTCAAATCCTCTTTTGTATGATCTTTATGTGTGCCAAAAATGAGTTTTCATTATAGGGCGCGGTCAGCACAGCCACCTACTGGCAACAGGAAGTTACTGCCTTTAAATCACGCCTCTCAAATCCTATCTGGGTCACTGAATTCCCCTCAACATTCTTCTGGTACATTCTAAGATCTTTCCCCAACCACCACAAAGAGCACACGAGTCTGCGCCAAATGCTGTTGCCATGGCATCATTCACTATCAAACAGGAAGTAGTATTTTGAAGGGTTTAAAATGCTTGAAGAGTCACCAGATGTGGTACAGAGGAGCCCGGTGGAGCAATGACACAATTTGGCCTACATGGTGCTTATTGCCACGCCCACAATCCCCCAAAATTCAGCTCCTCTAACATGTTAAGCCTAGACAGATGGGCTTTGCTGGGTTTATATGGTGAAAAAGAAAATTTACACGCTAACGGGAAAAAAATTATCTAAATATAAAATAAAAGAGGCCCCTATACAGATCCTTGAGGAACTCCACATTTCAGCTTAGCAGTGCTTGAGGCACAAATACTGAAAATCACAGCGTTCTCTCTTACTCATATTACTCATTCAAGTCCCACGCCGACTGTTTTTTTTTTAAAACTACTTAAAGTGCTCTCAGTGGTCTTTAAATTTTGATTATGAAGTCACGTTACCTGTGTTATTTTCAAGGTTATTTCTTCTGCAGAGCTCCAGTAGCTCATTAGCAAATCACCTCTGCATACTCCTCTTCCCGCTAGCTTGTACCCTAACATTGCCGGTGTACTGGCAGGTAACATCA